CATCTCTGCTGCGCTCGACGCTCTGGTTGAAACGCTGATACCATCTCGCAAAGAAGGGTTTAAAATATTTATTCGCTTGGGAGATGGTGATTGCTGTTGCTGGCCGAGATAGGGATCTCAGCTCCTCAGAGGCTCCCTGGGATCATAATCCCTTTCTGGGAACATAATTGCATTCTGGGAACGCTCAAAGAAGATCGAGATAAGCACCAGAGCTCTCCTTCCCTCTGCCACCCCAAGGTGAAGTTCCCGCATCCGGCTGCGGGTCCATCCAGCAGCTGCGGGATGACAAAACGAGCGGGGAAACTGCCAGTGACATTTTTGTTTCCCCTTTCCTCAGAAGCAGGGAGGCCAGACGCTCGCTCCGAGCCCCAGAACACGAGTCTTTCCCAACAGGGAGCAGGACGCAGGGGACGGGGCCCGTTCGCTTCTGACCACAGCGAGGACTTTTCCCCTCCTTGGATGGACACGGTCCTGACCTTCACACTCAGTCTGGTGAAACATTAAAAAGCTTTTCTGCCCCCCCAAAAAAGCCCAAACCAACCAACCTGCTGCACGAGTGGGAAAACAGAGCTTCGCGGTCAGCTGTGCCGGGGGGAGCTGGAGTCCCTCCCACTGTTGCGTCCCGCCTTGTTTTTCTTGCAGGTGAACAAATCCCGGGTGTAAAACCAGAAAGCAAAGAACACGGGTTGAGGGCTGGGGGCAGGGATCGGAGCTGTGAGAGCTCTCGGTCGGGCTTTTGCAACCCCGCGCAGAGCTGAGTGCGCAACCCAGAGGGAGTGCAGAGCTGGGGCAAAGGGCTGCAAACGCCGGGTCAGAAGTGGAAGAGGTTCAAGGACGAAATATTTTTAAGTTGGGGAAGGACAGAGTTGGAGAAGCACCCAGAATCATCCCCATAGGGCCGAAGGCTCGGCAGCTCTGAACTTCTCTTGCAGGAATGAAGTAACCTCTTGTACGTTTCAGCATTTCACCCGTCTAATCCTCACTTTTACAAGTGAGGAAACCGAGGCACAGGCATGGAAATTCCACTTTAGC